GGCTCTAGGAATGGATGGAATACCAATAGAAGTGCTTTAACAAGCTGATGAAACACTGGAAATACTTACTCGCCTATGCCTGGATAATTGTAAGACAGCTACCCAGTTAATTAACTGGAAGAGATCCATATTTGTACCCATTCCAAAGAATGGTGACCCAAGACAATGTTCACACTAGAGAACAATATCATTGATTTTGCATGCAGGTAAAATTTTGAAAAAAATAAATAGTGAATTAAAATAATATCAATAAGTAAATATGTAGATATAGATATATTACTGTTACACAGTACCTTCCTGGCAAAGTGTAAATATTTCTTTATCAAATAACTGTGCAACGGAAACCCGATGCCATCCATAAGTATATAAAGGAATGTGAAAGCGTTGTAAAGAAAAATTTTTTTTGATAAAGATCATCCAACAACATTGCCAGCGTGAAGCGGAATCAATCAAAGAGTTCAGACTTCTTCGAGAAAGGGCTGCTAGTTGGAAACACTTGAAGAAGTGTATCGGCTTAAGGGGAGGATATGTGGAGAAACAATGTTGTTATTGTTAGGTGCCGTCGAATTGGCTCTGACTTATAGCAACCCTATGCCCCACAGAACGAAACACTGGAAGAGGTCCTGTGCCATCCTCACAATTGTTCTTATGCCTAAGCCCATTGATGCAGCCATTGTGTCAGTCCATCTCGTTCATGGCCTCCCTCTATTTCACCACCCCTCCACCTTACCCAACACGATGTCCTTCTCCAGGGGCTAGTCTCTCCTGACAATATGTCCAAAGTATGTAAGATGAAGTCTTGCCATCCTTGCCTCCAAGGTGCACACTAGCCTTACTTCTTTCAATACAGATCCGTTTGTCCTTTGAGCAGTCAGCAGTCCGTGGTACTTTCAAGACTCTTCTCTAGCACCACAATTCAAATGTACCTGTTCTTCTGTGGTCTGTTTTATTCACCGTTCAGCTTTCACATGCATATAATGCAATGGAGAATACCATGGCTTGGGTTAGGCGCGTCTTAGTCCTCAAAGTAATAATCTTGCTTTTCAATACTCTAAAGAGGCTCTATGCGGCAGATTCACCCATTCAATACATCATCTGATCTCTTGACTGCTGCTTCCATGAGCATTTATTGTGGATCCAAGTAAGAAAACATCCTTGACAACTTCAATCTTTTTTCCATGTATCATGATGTTACCTATTGGTCCAGTTGTGAGGATTTTGGTCTTCCTTACATTGAGCTTAAGTGTCATTTGTATACCACCGGTTGTTAATCAGCGTTTATCCAATTCTGATGCTGCACTTTTCTGATGCTGCAATTATCCAATTCTGATGCTGCACTGATGCTGCACTTCATATAGTCTAGCATCTCTGATAATTTGCTCAGCATACAGACTGAACAAGTATGATGAGAGGATACGACCCTGACACAAACTTTGAGGAATGGTGTTTGTTTTCATGAAGTGGCACAGTCTCCATGGGGATAGTAGCTTTAATTTAGGTATTTAGGACTAGAGAATGAGACGTATCCAAGTTGAGGGGCTGCCTTTCCTGGCTCTAGCTTATGTTCCAAATATGCTGTAGTGCTGCCCTCTAAGTGGTGGTAAAATGGATTAAAATTTTTAAAAATTTATTTTAAATAATTTTATTGGGGGCTCATATAGCTCTTATCACCATCCATCCATTGTGTCAAGCACATTCGTACATTTTGTTGCCATCATCATTTTCAAAATGTTTTCTTTCGATTTGAGCCCATGGTATCAGCTTCTCATTTTCCCTCTGCCTCCCTCACTTATCAATAACATTTATAAATTGTTATTCTTTTTTCATATCTTACATTGTCCAATGTCTCCCTTCACCACTTTTCTGTTGTCCGTCCTCCTCGGAGGGGGTTATACATAGATCATCGTGATCAGTTCCACCTTTCTCCCCCACCTCCTGGTATTGCTACTCTCATTGTTGGCCCTGAGGGGTTTATCTGTCCTGGATTCCCTGTTTCCAGCTTTTATCTGTACCTGTGTACATGCTCTGGTCTAGCCGTATTTGTAAGGTAGAATCGGGCTCATGATAGTGGTGGGGGAGGAGTGAGAGATGCATTACAGAAATCGAGGAAAGTTGTATGTTTCATCGGTACTATACTACACCCTGTCTCGTCTCAGAAAAATGGATTTAAATTGCCTGCATTCCTCTCAGGGAAGTTATGGTGCCAGTGAATTGTGGGCTCATTCCCTGACATATTAACTATGAAATGTTCTTTCTTTATACTCAAATTGTTAGAAGGTGAAATGAAAATATGATTGGGCACATGGAAAAGGATTCTGCACCAATTCTACTTTCCTAGGTTAGGAACCTGAATTATTTTGTCAATTTTTATTGTTTTGTATCAAAAACCATTTGAGAAGTGAATAGTAGATGTGACTTTCTTTTGAAAAAAGCCTTTGGACTGAAACCAATATCATTAGAGTAGAAAAATAAATATGGAAGATCTCCTGATGGTGTCATTATGAATATTTATGCCAAAGGGAGATCTTTATGTTAGCCTTTTCCAGTGTATTTTATTTGGAATAGTAAAAGTAATTGCAACACATGCTTTTATCTGGAATAATTTTTCATAGAGGTGAATTTCCTCTGCTTCCTGAAATTCCATGGGGAGACAGGCACATATTTTGTTAAATCACATTAGCATTTCTAATGAATTAAGATTCTTCTATTTCAAAGATATTTACAAGCATAAAATACATGTAAAGAAAGATTACATCTGTGATTCCTTTGTTTGAACTGTTACATTTGACATCAATCACTTATTTTTAATTTCTTCATTTAAAAACATTCATTCTTCTCTATGAGATTTATGTTGAAGAACTTGCCCATCATGCCACTCAATTGTCCTCACTTTCTTTTCTATTGGACTTCTGCTGTGCCATATGAAAAAAACATGTTCATGTATTTTTTGTTCAGAGAACCCTCCTTAAAATTGGCGTTAATGCTTAGAGTACTAAATCAGGCATCCCATAGGCCAAGACTCTTTCTTTAGCAACTCTTAAGTGGGGCAGGTGTTACCCAAGTAATCTGGTCTTTTCCTCAGCTCATGTTTCTTTGTGAAGGTTACAGTGGTCAGGCAAGAATGACTTTTCTGTCCTGGAGATATTCCTTGCCGTAAACGACTACTGTGCTGGGATCTTCACCATCAAATGGAAGGCTGCAAAGATACACACTGACACTAGGATTATTGAATGGGTGAATGTGATTCAGAGGGCAGGTCCTGTGCTGTGGGCTCAGATGCTCAATAGTGAGCAATTGCGTTCTCCTGGGAAGAAGGCTGCTGAAGAGAAGTTTCAACTGCTTGGTGTCCTGGGAGACTTCAGGGCTGGTGGGAAATTGGAAAAACCCAAATCGAAACCCACCGCCATGGAGTCAATTCCAACTCAGAGTGACCATATAGGTCAGTGTAAAACTGCCCTTCCGGGGTTCCTGAGACATCTCGGTACAAAAGTAGACAGCCTCATCCGTCTCCCAGAGCGGCTGATGGGCAACAACGATTGACGCTTGGACAGCAGCCCAGTGTGTACTCCATGGTGTCCCGGGCTCCGCATTTGTCGGAAGGGACCCCGGATCATCAGTGTACTGTATCTGAAAAGGACCCTTGGTGGCATAGTGCTTACGCCCTAGGCTGGTAACTGCCAGGGCAGCAGGTCAAAACCACCAGTCATTACGCAGGAGAACGGCGAGGCTTTCTACTGGAAACAGTTACAGCCTTGCACACCCACGGGGGGAGGTCTGCACTGCCCTGTAGGGTAGCCATAAGAAAGAATTGACTCTGTGCAGTGAGGTGGTTTTTAAAAAATATATATGAATGTGCTGTAGATGCTTCCCCTCACTCCCACCCCACACCCATTAATAAGAATATTAGAATGTATTATGCAAGCACCAGGGCTGGGAAATTGGCACTCACTAAGACTTCTTTGTGTTCTGTGTTCGGTCCAGGAAACTTCTTTCCCTCAGCCTGACAACTGTCCATAATATTTAGGGCACTCTTTCTAAGCTATACAACATATGCTCAAGGACAGAACAGAGAAGCGATCTCTTAAATAGTACTCTGTAGTTGGGATTTGGTAGACCCAGTTAATCCCCTTTCCTTTCTGATTCTTAGAAAGAATGGTTTCTCCCACCCCCAGGCCTATATCTAACTTTTCAAATGTGTGTATTGGAAGGACAGTTATTCATCGTTTTTGTTTCCTTTACATATTTCACTAGCTTGAGAAACTAATTATGGCCCTGTTTGTACTTGTAAAAAAGAACTTGAAAAGAGGTTAGCAGTTCAAAACCACTAGCTGCTCTGAGGGGGAAAGATGAGGCTTTCTACTCTCAGGAAGATTTATAGTGTTCGGAACCCACGGGCAGTTCCACCCTGCATCATAAGATATATCCACTCTCAGTGTTTGAGGAAGGGCCATAGTGCTTTCCAGAGAGGTTGTGTAGTTTCACAGTCCACCAGCAGGGCATAGGGCTTCAATTTCTATGCACCTTCTCCTGGATTTCTTTCCTTTTTTTCTATTTTTTCAACTGTGCTATCAATGAGCATTGTAATTCTGCACATCTGCAGTGGTCCTTGAAGTTAGTGAAATTTATAAATTATTTCCCAGGAGGAGTATATTTTTCATAATTAAGCTATGAGATAATCTGAAATGTAAAATTTTTATGTTTGAAGGATATTACTTTCACTAGTTGGAGTGGATTCTGAATGACATATGAAGAAACTAATATTTCTGTCAAATGAAAATTTTCGTATAAATGGAAAACTCGGTATTTTAATTAAGTTTATGTTAAAAAGAACGTTATTATGTAAATGTACTCACATTGGTGCTCATGAATGTGAATTTTAGGGTGCTGTACTTATTGAGTAAACAGAGCATATTGGCATCAATCTATTTATTTGTGCTTTCCCCCCTCCATGTATATATTATTCTCACACATTTTCTAACATGGAGTTTATCTTTTAACAGGAAAGAAAAGCTGCTACGATGTTCTCAGTGCCAAGTCGCCAAATATTGTAGTGCCAAATGTCAGGTAAGACTAGTCACTTTGCATAAAGATGAAACCTTAAAACTCTGTTCTCTTAAATTTGTTGTACCTTATGCCTATTAGCTTATGTCTATTTCTTAAACATCTTTTATTTATTTTTACTTGTTGTTTTCCTTCAGTTTAAAACTTAACATTTCAAGCTATCAGAACCACACACGCAAACTCCTCTATTGCCATCAAATGTACTGTACTAGTCCAAAGAGGCGAAGTTCATCTACCCCGATGCCTCAGGTGTGGCTAATAATCAGTCAGCTTCAGTGCACACATTTACTGTACTCTTTGGAAATCTTCTCTGGTCAATTCAGACTTCATTCATTCTGTGCTACCCTTCTCTCTCTCATCCCCTACCACCCACCAGGGGCTGTGTCAGTGGGTCCTGTCCCTTTCTGCGTGTGAGTACACCTCAGAACTCAGCTGCCATTGAGCCAGGTCTGCAGGGCAGGGTAGAACTAGCCCTGTGGGTTTCTGAGACTGGTTGTTTATGGGAGTGAAAGTCTAATCTTGCTCTCTCAGAAAGGCCTGCCTTGAATCTAGTGTGAACCAAGCTGCAAATACACAGGATGAGGTCTGGGTGCAAAGCTTGCATGTCCCTCGGGATCACCCTGGTCCTCCTGAGAGCAAAAGTTCGCTTTCATCACCCAGGAAGTCTTATTGAACCTCTGTCTTCCCATAGCTTCAGTGGGCTTTACCACACAGCCGTCCTAGTTGACAGTATGTCTCCTGATGCTTATGAAGGTTGGGCCCTCAGCCGGTCCCTCCAGGACTGGCCAGCACCCACTCTTTGGCCCCAGGTGTGACCTGGCTCTCCAGAATCAGGATCATAGATCAGATTATTCAGGGCAGAGAGTTTTGCTCCTTGCCTAAATGTACAAAGTGAAATAGTAATAATAATATTAAATAACACACACAAAACACTCTAGGGTGAGTACATGTCTCCATCTGTTTCCACAGGCTGTAGTCTTCTGACTTCAATTCTCTTTTCCAGAGATAACCACTGTTAAGCTTCTTGAGTTTCTGTAGCATTTTCTTGTGCACATATGCTCATCTGCATAACTTGTTTGTAAAGCTGGCATAGGTTATTTTGGCACAAATTATTGCATATTTTTCTTTCTTTCTTTTTAAATCTAATAATGCCTAAAGGGGCATTGGGCTGCTCACCATAAGGTTGCGGTTCAAACCCACCAGCAGCTCTATGGGCGAAAACTGAGGCGGTCTGCTCCCATCGAGTTAGACAGCCTTGGAAACCCTTTAGAGGGCTGCTGTGAATCAGGATCGACTGCGTGGCAGTGCGTCCAGAAGAACTTTCTAATTCCATTACCTGAAGGCTTCTAAATTGTAATTTCCTCATTCATGAAGAACTGCCTTGTTTCCAAATTTTGATACCGCCAGCAATGAACCAAGCATCCTTTTTGTGCACAAGATGCCCACATCTTCAAATTAGGCATAGGGTTCATTTTTCCTACAGTTACGAATTAGTGAAAGGATATGTACATTCTGAGTTTTTAAAGATAATGCCAAATTGTCTTCCGAGAGTTTGAGATAGTTTACACCTATTTCCAATCTATGAGAGTAACTTCTTTAGTATTTTAAAATTTTTTTAAAGACTTATAGTTAACACTTAGCATGACCTTTTCTTCTAAACTAGTAATTACTCATTTAATAAGAAATGTAATTATGTAATTATGTTCTAATGAATTGCTTGATATTGAATTTTTAATGGACTGTTTTGTGCCTGTGTCATCTGCTCCCCATCCTCTACTCATCTGTCTCTTATTTTGGGGGGGTGTTGGGGTGGGTGGCTTGCATAGCTGAGTTCAGATTTGTGCATGCAAAGTCCCTCTTTTCCTGTTAAATCTCCACCAGGCTTCTCTGAGCGATTTCCTACCACCTCACTTTTCCCTTTGAACATAATCTCCAAACAGCAACTGTTAGGTGCCGACCAGTTGGTTCTGACTCAGAGCAGCCACCCATGTACCACAAAGTACAACACAACCCGTCTCTGCCCTCCTCACAATCGTCCTTATCTTTGAGCCCATTGGTGCAACCACGGTGCCAGTCCATCTTCTGGATCTTAGTGGAAAGAAGCCAAAATGTACAGAGTCATCAGGAGCTCCAGATTCTAGTGGGAATTCTACCATTCAGCAGTTCACCTACCCTGTGAAAAGAACCTCAGCTCTTCGGACCTCAATTTCCTAATCTGTGCGAATAATATTAAGTCACCCTTTTGGCGTTATCTAGCAGGTGTTGTTTATTTAATCTTTAAAATAATCTTGTGATATAATAATAGGTGTCATTGTTATATTCATTTTACTAATGAGGATACTACACAGAGAAACTTGCTGAAATTCTTATCAGCTAGTAAGCATTGGAGTTTGGGGAATGAGCCCAGCTGGTCAGACTCTAAGGAGCCTGGGTGGTGCTAACTTGTAAAGCTTGGTGCTTTGAACTCTTCCTGTAGCTCTGCAGAAGAAAGGCCTGGCCTCCTGCCTCTGTAAGTATTACAGAGAAGAAAACACTAGGAAGCAGTTGTACTCTTTCACATGCGGGATCCATGAGTAAGGACCAACTCGAAGACAGCCAGTAACAAAGCCGGGCTCCAGACTATGAACTTCTCTTCTAATTCTAAATTTTGCCTTGAGCGAACATTCTGATTAGGCTGCTGCCTTGTCATTTAAGAGCCCTGGTGGTGTAGTGGGGAACGCGTTGGGCTGCTATCTGAAAGGTGAGCAGTTTGAGACCACCAGGCACTCTGCAGGAGAAAGAGGAGGTTTTCTGCTTCTGTAAAGAGTTGCAGTCTTGGAAACCCACCGGGGAAGTTCTGCTCTGTCCGATAGGGTCCTCAGGAGTCAGAATTGATTCTGTGGCAGTGAATTTGGCTTGGGTTTTTGTCTCATGTTTATTATCTTCACCTTTGTTTTCTCTGTGTTGTTTTGTTTTAGAAGGATTAACTATCCCTGAGGAGCAACCAACAAAAATAGAAGAACAGAGTTTCTGATAACCTTTTTTTTTTCCAAGACAAAATTTAATTTATTTGTCATTAGAAATAAACATTTCCTTTTTAAAAATCATTTCACTGGGGGCTCTTACAGCTCTTATAACATTCCATATATCAATTGTATAAAGCTTATTGTACATATGTTGCCACTATCATTTTCTAAGCATTTACTTTCTATTTGAGCCCCTGGTAATGAAACTTTTTTGAAGTGCTTTTTAAAAAAAAATTTTTTTTAATCATTTTATTGGGGGCTTGTACTCTTATAACCCTTTCATAGAACAAACCTCTCTCTCTCACTACCATGCAGCAGTTTCTGACTCATAGCAACCTTACAGGGCAGAGTAGAACTGCCCCCTGGGTTTGCAAGGCTGTAAATCTTTTTTTTTTTTTTTCTTTTTTAACATTTTATTAGGGGCTCATACAACTGTTATC